CACACACACACACACACACACACACACTCGCTCGCGACCAACATGGACAAACAGGCGTGATTACTGCCATTCTTGTCAGGTGTTCTGACTGACAGAATGCTAGGAATGCAGGGTTGATCTGATTCAAGTCGACACACACACGCACGCACTCACGCACGCACGCACGCACATGCACACGCACACGCACACACGCTCGCACACACACACAAACACACACACACAGACACACACACACACACAGACACACACACACACACCCACACACACACACACACACACACACACACATGCTTTCTTGGTGGGATTGAGTACAGTGAACTTGAGGCACACGAACACAAACTCAACGAGCGGAAGAACGATGGAAAAAGCAGGATACTACTAAGCGTCCACACTGAAATGACACAGTAGAAAGTGGAGCTCGGTGAGGCGGGCTTACAGATCGAGGTTCGCGAGAGGGCGAGAAGGGAGGTGGGAGGAGCAGAAGAGGTGAGAAAGAGCAGGCCGCACCAGAGGAGCGGGAAGGATAAAATGCATGCTCAATAGCAACTCCAGCGACATCACTCAGAAAGAACAAGACAGCCGTTTTTGTTTATATTCACCGAAGCACTCTCTTTTCAAGCTCGCATCCTATTCGCACGACCACAGCTAGCCACTCCTTGTTCTCCCCGTTCCCACTAAATCTGGATAGAAACATTGTCATAAACGGTCACGAAACTCCTAATACGAACACGGTCTCTCAGCCAAAATGCTCGCAGGATGCGTTCCTTGGCTCCGAGGGAAGGCGCCCACAGGCTCATCCTCGCTGCTAATCCAACCGAGAAGCAGTTGCCCTTTCCAGAGCACATCTGCGAAGATTGCTTACCTTGCTCAGAGACAAGGCACCTATGTCGCAGAACACACAAAACACCCTGTATTTGAGAACGCCTGCTACTGGAGACTAAAACCTACACCTTCACCTCCACCTCCACCTCCACCTCACCACCTCCACCTCACCACCTCCACCTCACCACCTCCACGTCGGCGCTCGACTAATGCCAAACCCGACTTACTACCGGTTGCCTCTGTTCTGACCGTCTAGCCGAGAACAACACGAGTCGTGAAGAATGAGACCAAATGCACTGCACAGTGCATACAGCAAGTGCAACTGCATCAGTCTGCATGTTCGCGTATTGAAAAATAATCCCAGACCAGGAGGGCTAGCTGAGGGTTGGCTTGGAATCCCAGGACCTCTCATTTGGGGCAGCGGCGGCAGTTGCCATACTCGATTGCGCTGCTTGCCGCATCGACCTTGGTCCCGGCTGGCGCCTTGGCGCAAAAGCTCCAAGACTTCAAAGTGTCCGTTACAACTATGTGCAAGTTGCTCGTGGAGCTGTCGGCCGCTTTGTTGCCTGAGAAGGTGTTTCCTTTGCAGAGAACACCGTTTCCTCCTTCGTCGTCGGCGAAGAAACGCACGGCGCCGCCCGTTCCATTCACCACATTGTTTCGGAAGCTGTTCCTGGAAATGTAGCAGCCGCCCCTCGAACACGACACCGCTCCGCCGACATCTCCGTCCGCCTGGTTGCCTTGGAACGCACACTTGTCGATGGTTGCAGTGGACCCAATCAATGCCACGGCTCCGCCTCTGCTCTTGGCATAGTTGTTGGTGAACGTGCTGCCAGTCAGTTTGCCGTTGCTCTCGCCCAAAGCGTAGAGAGCACCTCCGGTTTGCGATGCCCGGTTAGCTATGAACTGGCAGTTGCTGATCCTCCACGTGTTGGAGTAGAAGTAAATGGCGCCTCCATTCCCGCTGTCACCCGAGCCAAACGCCCTGTTGTTGTAGAACACACAGCTCTCGAACTTGTTGTCGCCGAAGGAGAGAATAGCAGCGCCGCCGCTGAACCTCGTCGTGACCAGGTTCCTGAACTCCACGTTCCTGACCGACAGCACGGAGTGGGTAACGATGCCGCTGTACTTGTTCTGGCCGTCGATCACGGGACGCGTTTTCCCCACGCCGATGATGGTGACGTTGCGACTCAGCTCCGGCAGGTTGGAACTCAGATAGACGTCTCCTTTCAACTCAATGCGTGACACTTGGGGATTCTTGTAGTCCGCCAGAAACTCGATGAAGCCATAGCCAGAAGCTTCCGGAAGCACCGACAAGGCCAGAACCACCACCGTCACCGCCAGCGCCAGAACTCCGCTCGTTGGACCAGCTGCAGTCGCCATGATCGCCGTTCCTCAGGCAACCAACCGAGTCCCTGGCCGCCTTCACAGTCCTGGATCGTGCTAGAACGGAACGGAAACACCCGCTCGAAATGGACTGGCTCACACCGACGATGACGCAAGACCAACTAACGAGCTCCCGACTTCGATGCGATCGTTTGAATCAACCTGCGCTTTTCTAGTAAACGAGACAGCCGTGGCCAGTGGCAAGAAGAGCGTGGGCGGTGCGACCACAGCCTTCCCACTACCGGTAGCAGCACCCCCTCACGAACCCTCATTATGACCGAATGGGATCCCGAAGATGGCTTGTATCCATTGATCAGGCATGGAGTGCACTACAGGCCAAGATACAGTTTCGAGCTGCAGTTCGGGCAATGTATACAACCCAGCTTTCTGGCCAGGTAGGCTGCCCGAAGTGCAATTGAAAACTGTATCTTGCCCCAGCCCCCGCAGGTTCTCTCGTTCACGCGGTTCTGGCTGCCACGGGGTTCCCCGTATGCCTACGTGACTCTTTTAAAAAAAAAAAAAAAAAAAAAAAAAAAAAAAAAAAAAAAAAAAAAAAAAGAGCGACGGCCTTGGAGATATTGTCATTGAGCTGACCGGCTCCAAGCAATTCATTGGTAGTTTAACTCGGTTTTACTCGTCAAGTTCCATCATCTGGATTCAAACACAGGTTTATAGTTCGACAGTTCATGGGTGTACCCACTGAGCTAGGCTCTTGGGTGACTCTGTTTTTGTGACTCTACTGAAGTTAACCGAAAAAAGAAACCGGGAGTTCTGATAAACGTAGTGGTCGTGATCCACGGTAGCAGCCGTCCTGCTGGCTGCGCTGGGAATCGGGCCCAGCCTCCCGTTTTACAGAGTAAGAAAAAGAGAGTTTTACAGAATAGATTGGCGAATACCTTTCTCGGCCTTTTGGCTAAGATCAGCGCCGAGGTCCGACTAGTAGCAAAGAGAATTGGATAAATATCCTGAATGGATAAATATCCTGCCCTGAATCTGGACGTGTTTTCAGCTGAGATGCGGAAAAGCAGTTAAATCACGACATTCTGCACCTTTCCACAAACCACTCCCAGATTCGGGCGTTCAATCCAATCCTCTTTAAATTTATTTATGGCTTCCTTCCCTGCCCTATCCGAACTACTACTTATCCGTTTTGTGCCTTCCTTCCCTGCCCCATCCTACTGCTATTCTAACTACCCCTGTTTTCCATCCTGTCCTAATTCAGGACCGCGTGATTGATATTAAATTAATTTTTAAATTATTTTTTTCTGGGCCACGGAGGGGTCATACGGGTAAGCTTGCAAGCTTACCCGACCCCTCCAGCTTCCCCTCTGTATTGCATTGCTGCGGAGGGCTGCACAGCCCTCCCCCTCCAATGGAAAAAAAAAAGAATACATTGGCTAATGGCCGGCCTCGTCAGCCTTTGACAGACTGCCAAATGTCCTTCCTTCAGACTACGATTCTTCTAAGTGTATTATGGATAAGGGCCTTCCCACACCACTCTGAATATGAAAAAGACAAAAATGTGGAGGGTGCATCTGGCCATATTCTAGCCGGAAGTTCATTCTCATTTTGCACATATTTTGCACATTTCAAGAGTGGTGTGGAGATGCCCTAAGTTGGGAAAATAGCCCCTTGGCTGTGTTTCCACAGCAAAAATAGTGGCCGGGCCCAAGTTTGGTTGCATACCTTTCTGGGCCTTTTGGCTAAGGGCCTGGTTGCACTACTCTCTATCCACCAAGTTGGCCAGAGGGTCCATGGTTGCACTTAGGGCCTCTTCGACACCACTACAAAACCCTTACATCGAAGGTTTTCATCGTTCCACACCTCCCTAATCCCGAAGAAAAAGAAGTCGAACTTGTTTTCACATTCACGGCCGTAAGGGCTGGCCCTACAAAAGTAAGGACTCCCCAGCCAAAACGGACCCTTGATGTAAGGAGGCCCGTGGAGGTGACTTGAAAGTAGGGGGTGGCACCCTTACATCACGAAAGAACCATTTTTAGGTGTGTCTTTCGGCCACTTAGAACGCAAACCGAGGCACCTGAAATGTAAGTGCGCCTAAGTGTAGGGTTTTCGTAAGTGGTTGTGGAACGAAAAATGAGGTAAGGGAAAATTAATCACTTTTTCGCGGTAAGGGCGCCCTCCAGATTCACCATATGAGGTAAACAAACTATTTCGGATAGTGGGACACCGCTCCACTTACTATCCGAGATGTACCTTCGGAAATCACCATATAGTTGTCAGATGGCGCCCTCCAGATTCACCATACGATTCCGTATAGTTCCCAGCCTTTAGAAGTCGTTACTCGGAGCGTGGTCGAAGGAGGTCGGCGTAGCATCACGAAATCGTATGGAGCGCCTGGAGTCTGGGCAGACAAACTGCCTATGGGCGTCGTTAGACACTCCTTGGGGAGGTGAAATCCACAAGGACACCCTCGTTCCACCTGTCCTTGGGGACGAAATTGAAAAAGAAACATGAAAACGCCACAAGGAAACTTCCTTGTGGCGTCCTTGGGACGCCCACCTCACGCCCAGCTCGACTTCCTGATCGGAGTGGGATGGGGGCCTGGAAGTGCGAAAAGGGGGTGTGCCAAGGATCTTAGGAAAGTCGGGGGGGCTGAAGTCCCAGGTCGGAACTGAGATCTCCTGTGGCAAGTTTAGTGACAATGGTGCAAGATGGTACGTGAAGATCGTGTCAGGGATTATCGCCTCTACCAATGGCGTCGCTGTGGTTGGTTCCTCATCTGGTGAACCAGTGGGTCGTGGTGGATGTCGCGTGGTTCGACCAGTTGTATGCGCCGCTCGAGTCCGGTCCGGGTTCGCCAGGTAATTTCTGAAGCTCGATACACCTGGTCCCGCTGGCACTTTCCGCACGATGTGCGGGGCCAATAGCGGGCTATGGAATTCCACGGTACCACTGTGAGCTGGTGATATGGAAGGAGGAGAATTGGTATTCATGAAGACGAAGCCCGGGGATATGTAATATTGAGCGTTGGTTGTCTCCGGATAGTCTGGTCCCCTAGGATGGTTAGTTATGGCCCAGTGAAAGTCTCTCTCGCACAGTCGGTCGTTCTCCGTCAGACAGGGAAATTCCGGGTTTGGACATGGTACGTTGTTAGGGAATGAAATGCAGCGTCCCACCATTGCCAAATTTGGGCGACCATCGGGCATGCGAGGAGGCAATGTTCCAGAGTCGCACATGCCGGCGGGGAGGCCCTGCCACAATAGGCGCATATGGGGGAGAGCCGGCCTTTCTGTTCCAGGTCAGTCCTGGACACGAGCCAGTCCGGTGTGGGGAGACATCGGTGC